TCGGCTTCTTTCAAAACAAAACGTAGGGGCACTTGCCTGGCTGGGTCAGTGAACCCTGCAACTCTTGATCTTGGGGTTGTGAGTTTGAGCCCCACATTGGATGTAGAGATTACTTAAGAATAAAATCTTTGTCAGGGTGCCTGGGTGGCTCAGTTAGGTAAATGTCCAACTTCGGCTCAGGTCATGATCTCACAGTTTGTGGGTTCAAGCCCCGTGTCAGGCTCTGTGCTGACAACTCAGAGCCTGGAGCCTGCTTTGGATTCTGTGTGTGTGTGTCTCTCTCTGCCCTTCATCTGTTCACACTCTGTCTCTCAAAATAAATAAATGTTTAAAAAAAAGAAAAAAATCTGTCAGGGCCTGGGTGGCCCAGTTGGCTAAGCATCAACTTCTTGGTTTCGGCTCAGGTCATGATCTCACAGTTTGCAGGTTTGAGCCCCACATCGGACTCTGCATTGACAGCGCAGAGCCTGCTTGGGATCCACTCTCTCCCTTTCTCCCTGCCCCTCCCTTGCTCATGCTCTCTCCCTCTCTCAATATAAATAAATGAACTTAAAAGAAATCAATTTAAAAGTAAAATCTTTGCTAAAAACAAAAAAAAACTATACAAAATAAAAACTTGAAAACAATAGTTGGTGTTGTTTCTGTGCAGATGATTGTTACCAGTGCCTAAATTGTTCATGGGACTGGGAAAGGCTACAACTAAAGCCTGTGCCTTTCCTCAAAGACAGAGTCAGGTAGAAAACCACAGTTACATTCATTGGTGAGAAATCTGAAGAATTTCTGTATTTTAAACATTAATACCAAATGGCCCTAATACTCTGCATGTCTGGAAAGTACCTACAAAGTTCCTGGCCCTTAGTAGGGCTAAAACAAAGATAGCTCTTGTAATGGCTGCTACTTATATAATGTCATATTAGGTCACTTGGTTTTCGAACTTCAGGTGACATATATTTGTCTTTGTACTTTACTGTACTTTTCAGATTTGCTGTAATACTTTTATTATAGAACCAATGGGCTTCTAGAAAAGAGTCATACTGTATGTTTGTAATTTTTGTAAAAGAAATATTCCACATCCAGTCATATCACTTCCCTCCCTTGCTACCTCCTCATTGCCCTCAGGAAAAGGTCCTGAGTCTGTAACACACACACACAAAAGGATTTCCAGAACCTGGCCTTTATTCCCTCTTCAGCCTCATTTCTCATTCACAACATCACAATCCAGCCATAATTGATTTCTTTCAGTTACTGAAAAATGTCACTTTCTGTCTCTGCCAAGTCTTTCTATTCTGCCTCTTTCTTGGAACACTCTTCTCCACCTTTCTGCACAGGCTAACACCTCCTGATCCCTCAGCTCTCACTTGTTTGTGCAGTCATTCACTGATTCCATTCATTCCACAGAATTTTATTAAGCTTCTACTTTATGCCAGGACTCTGGGGAAATACAGTGAACAAACTAGTTCCCTCTATCATCAAGGTCCTTGTGGAAATCAGACAACACATCCACACTGGGTAATCTGAAGGGAATTTAACACAGGGATAATTCAAGAAGGTGTGGGCAGGGTGTAGAGAAAACAGGGGATGGTCACAGGGAGCACCATTGGGCACTTTGGGTAAAGGGAAGAAGTGGTTTGGAGCCTGGTGAGAGAGGTTGTGGAGAGGCCACCCAGCAGGATCTGTGACTTTCAGTCAAGGCCAACAGCCATCCCGATGTGACCCAGAGGAATAAATTCCCCAGCTCATTCCTCCCTTGTCCTAATCAACTGCTGGGGCTCCACATTAACAAAACCCAACCTGAAGCCAGAGGCAAGCACTATTAATGCAGATGATATAAGCCAGTCTGCTGGCTCAGCGCGTAGGATGGAGAAGGCCGTGCATGGGTCTAAAGGAGCTAATGGAAGACATTCAGCACAAACCTTTCTCTATATTCTAGTGGAGGGAGACAAACAGCATAATAACGGCTAAGAGTCAGCAAGCCCAAAATAAGTGCCAGGCACATCCTAAGCACACATAACTCAGTTTATCCTCACAACAACTAATGAACTCAGATTAACAGGTGAGGAAACTGAGGCGCAAAGAGGAACTGGAGGGATCAAAGCTCTGTCTTCTTGGTCAGTTGCATTTTTGTTTTTGTTTTGGTTTTCCTTTCCTGCTGCAGACCATCCCGGGAGCTAGAGCATCAACCATCACAATTTCCCACAATTTCCCAGGACTGCCACTTTTCCCGGGATGTGGCATATTCAATACTAAACCAGGGCAGTCCCAGGCAACTAAGATAGTTGGTCACCCTATCTGTGGCTTTTTTTTAAAGCCTATATGAAATCCATGTTCACCTCCAGGCTCCTACCCACTTCCTTCACATACATGACAATCAAACCTTCTAGACAGAGGGACAGATCAATCCTTATAAAATTCAAGAAGAGAAAAGAAATGTACCTAAGAGAACTTATTTGAAAAAAAAAAAAAAAAGATAAAGTCACATTTAAACTCTAAATAAACCACAGCAATGTTTTTGGAAATTACAAAGTAATATTTGGGGAAGATGAAGAAAAGAGGGCAAAATGAATATTATGGATAAAGGACAGTGGGTTTATTTATTTTTTTTGAGTAGTAAGATAAAGCACCAAGACGAATGTTCCTGGGGATAAACTGAAATACAGTTGCCAACTCATGTGGGGTGGGGGGGAAGTCAAAATAATTGGATCAAAAAAGGCACATTATAGAAAAAAGCCACCAGGGTGGCTTAGTCGGTTAAGTGCTCAACTTCGGCTCAGGTCATGATCTCGCAGTTTGTGGTTTCAGGCCCCGTGTCGGGCTCTGTGCTGACAGCTAGCTCAGAGCCTGGGGCCTGTTTCAGAGTCTGTGCCTCCTTCTCTCTCTAACCCTCTCCTGCTCACGCTTTCTCTCTCTCTCTCAGAAATAAATAAAACATTAAAAAAAATTTAAAAAGGAAAAAGAAAAGGAGGAACTAGGGGAGGGGAAAATAATATTAGCATATTCTGTTACACAAAATTAATATGTAATTATAAGCATTGAAGCATTCATGCTACGTAAACGCCTTTTGCGAATGAGATTATAGATTTGCTTGCAAACAGTAAGCATGCTAAATAAACATAAGGTGCTATTATTTAAACAACAACAATGACAACTAACAGATGATATTGGCAACTGTCCCTACAGAAGCCTCAAGCCTCCAGGGAGATCCTCTCTATAAGAAATGTACACTGCTCACAGTACTCTCACATCTAGATGGGGGTTAGCAAATGAGAAATAAACATTCCTCTCTGAGTTATCCCATGAATTGAAGTTGGTTGGCTGCCTGGACAGTGGCATGGTGGATTTCAGGATGGATGTTAAGGAGACAAAATCCTTGAGCTTATGATTCTTGGACAAAACCTCTCTGTGGGACCAGGACAAACTCAAACAGGGCCTTAGCCCAAGTAGATGACCCTCCAGCTCTGGTACTTGTAACTGTGAGCACATCTGCTGTCCACTCAAGTGCCCCCCTCCCCTTCATCCACAGAGCTGATGAAGCACAGGGCCCGCAGGGAAAACTGAAGTCACTCTGTGTTTAGATCAGTTCCGTAGGACACAGCAAAATCCGAAATGGATTGTGACCTGCTGATAATCTTTCACAGCGAACTAAGTGATCATTGATTAAAAATAGCTTTGAACATGTATCACACATCTATTTCAGGCCTCGTTTTATTTGGAATGCAGATAGCGCTGGAAGCCAGAGCTACAGGAGCAGCAGCTGGAAATCTACTCAGACATTCTAGCCAATTCACGTCAAGCCCAGTTGGCAAAATTAATGCCATTCTGCGGTCTCAGGGAAGGAGTGATGGTTAATTATGCCCCACTGCCCAGTGGTTTCTATTATGGACACATCTGTACTGAAAGACTCATTTGAAATCCCCAGTTTCACTGCTTCCCAGAGTCTAAACCAAGTTTAAAAATTGATTTGTGAGGCTGGGAGTGTAGTGCATACGAGCCGCCTTGCCCACAGACCCCAGGTAGGCTCTAATGAAAGTCTGTCCTGGTTTCAAAGGCTCTTTCATGCCTTGGGTACTCATATTTTCATCAGTGTCTCCTACCAGTTCCTAAAATGCAGTATTTGGACAGGTTTCTCAGTAAATAATAAATATAACACACACACCCATCTCTGCACCTCCGGGCTAAGGAGTCTAGTTTCCAGGGCACCCTCAACCACTGCAGGCTATGATGTTTTCATCTCTCTGATAGAAAGGCAGGCTGGGACCTTGTCTGTTTCAAACAGAAAGCCTTCTAAGGAATGTCTCTGCCCTGCATCAAGGGACACAGTCGTTTGTTCCGAGGAAAACTTCCCTCTAAATGATTGCTGGCTTCTGTTTCTGTAGCAGGAATTGTTGAATGGAAACGGCACTGTCGGAGGTGCCATCTTTGAGAAGAGAATTAAAACAGATCATCAGTCAAATCCAGGGTGGCTCTTCAAATCCTACAGGGCCTTAACTTCAGCAAACAGGTCACTTCCTATTGCACTTAGATCTCAAATAACACAGGTCCCTTTGCTCCATTCCAACCTCCCGTGAGACCACCAGTGTTCACAGAGCAGAAAGCAGCATGAGGCCAAGCAGGAGCCCCAAGGGGGAGATGCACCTCGGTGAGTCGGGCATCTCTGCAGGAGGTGACATCAGAAGCTCTGAGCAGCTGTGTTCCCTTACCCGCACCCTCCCTTGAGCTGCCTGATGAATACGGTTCATTTTGAATTTGTTCCTTTACGTCAAACCTTTCAAGCCTTCACCCTTAATAAATAGTAAAAGCTCTTAGGAGGGGGCAGTCATGCCTTCTCAGTCACTTACACCTGATGGTGGCCGAGTTTCCAGACTTCTCCTGACAGCAGGGATTCTGATAGAGGAAGAAAAGTGAGGGTGAGCATGACTGCACCCTAAAGGAAAGCAGCATGATTAAGGATATTGAAAATCGGCTCCTCTGGAGACCTATTGATATGTTTGCCAGGAACTAACCTCGCTCAGTCTGTCCTAATTCGCATAAACAACTTGGTCGATGGATCAGCTTGATAGAAATCCGTCTTTCACGAGAATGAGGAAAATCCATCAGCTGACGGACGTGAAAATTACAGAGACCAATGTATAAGCTTAGTGTTAAACCAGTTTCTGAGCTGCCCGGCTGCCTAACAACGCGCCAGTGAATGTAGGCGATGGAGCCAGTCCACCCCTGGGAAGCATTTAAACAGCATCTGCATCTGTTCCTGACCATGGAGCCACAGAGGCCATGTTTGGCTTAGGCAAGTGTGAGAACCAGACAAGCTGAAGGTCCATTCCAGTCTAAGGTCCTTATGGTTTATTCTATCTCACAGAGACACGTGATTCTTACCAACGATGCTGAGGTCAGTGTGACATCACAACAGCCAAAGCAGAAACACAGGTGCCCGAAACTCATAGATTTAGGAGATCAGGCCACAGCTCCTCTGTGCCTCTTTGAACTGCCTGGGGACAAAAGAGGGGACTTCAAACTTATCTGGCTGGCCTAGACACGGAAGTCCTTCAGAGGCAGGGTCACCATGAAGGACCCTTGACTCACAGCCTCACCCTGGGCTTCCCAAAGCCTATAGGATAAGAGGTGGTAACTACAGGGTGGGCCTCTTGCGTTTTGCTTACCATGAAACCAATGCTAAGACTATGAATGGTTCTTCCAGCCAGAGCTAAAGAACGAAGTCAGGGAAGGGGATGACAGCTTGGAGTCGAATTTGGAAGCTAAGTGGCATCCAGATTTGCTCAACACTAAGGTTAAGGGTGGAAGCCGGATTTAGAGTCTAACGGAACAGCAAGTGCTTTGGAGGCAAACAGATCTGCATTCAAATTCCACTTCTACTACAAGATTTTTGGCAATTGTCGCATTTTCCGAGCCTCAGTTTTCTCATCGGTAGAATGGGAAGCTAATAATGCTTCCTTTAAGGAATCGTACGAGAATTAAATTAGAGTGGGGGGGAAAAACGACAAAAGGAAGAGCTGGGCTCAGAGTGGGCATCATGCTTTCTTTCTTTTTTTTAATGTATTTATTTCTGAGAGAGAGAGAGACAAGCAGGGGAGGGTCAGAGAGAGAGGGAGACACAGAATCTGAAGCAGGCTCCAGGCTCTGAGCTGGCTGTCAGCACAGAGCCCGACATGGGGCTCAAACTCACGAACCATGAGATCATGGCCTGAGCCGAAGTCAGACACTTAACCAACTGAGCCACCCAGGCGCCCCGGGCATCCTGCTTTCTAATTGTCCTGCTTTCTACTCCCTTTGCACCACAGTCCTCCCCTCTGGCCGCAGAATTTAATCACTGGGGGAATTTTTTAAACCATTCCTATGTCTGAGCCTCCCCTGCCCCAGAGATTCTGATGCAGCTGATCCAGGATAGATGCAGTTGTCAGTATTTTCAAATATTTAAAAAAATCTCCTCGGGAGACTCTAATAAGTTCCCAAGGTTAGAACCCTTGTCCAAGTATGTCAGAATAAGTATCATCCTTGGATTTGAAATTTTCTATTATGGTTAGGCAAATATTTTACTTTTCAGAGGCTTAATTTATTTATTTAAGAAGAGTAATATTCCAATGTTATAGAATTCCTTTGAATATATAATGAGATGTATTTCATAAAGCTCCCAAAAGAAGTAACTGACTGTTAATAGATACTCAATAAACACATTTCTCTCTCTTTTCTTTTTTTCAAAGTTTGTTTGTTTATTTATTTATTTATTTATTTATTTATTTCAAAGAGAGAATCTTAGGCAGGCTCTGCACTGTCAGCACAGAGCCTGATGTAGGGCTCAATCGAATGACTGTGAGATCATGACCTGAGCCGAAACTAAGACTTGGACCCTTAACCGACTGAGCCCCTCTCCCTTTCTTTCCTTGTCATTAATCAAGGAATACATGTGTTAAATATTAATAAATAAATAAGGCCAATAGACATGATATAAGACTAATAAGACCGTTTTGAAATTAAGATAATTACTAACTCCCTTAGGCAAGAGTATCTTACCTATCTTCTACTAAGATAGGGGTGGCAAATACGGCGTTCATTTACCCCATTCCTCCCTTCCATGCGCATGGCAGACATCACTAATCAATTATAGCACTCTTTCCTACTGAGCCCCAAAGACGCATCAAAGTCCTTTACCATACAGCTCTCTCAAGCCTATACTAACAATTAACCAGAGCTGGCATTTGTTTTGAAAGAAATTTGCCAGCCCCGTCTTGGGTCATGAGCCGCCTCAAGCCTGCAAATGAAGCAAATTGCAGAGATGATTAAGTGTACTTACTTCCTGTAAGTGGAGAGCATGTGGCCAGAAATAAAGGCAGACCCTGAGAGTGCTCAGCTTTGGGCACCCTGATCTATATTAAGCTAAAAATCTCTGCTTTCTGGGGGCGCCTGGGTGGATCAGTAGGTTAAATGTCCGACTTCAGCTCAGGTCATGATCTCACAGTCCGTGAGTTCGAGCCCTGCATCAGGTTCTGTGCCAAAAGCTCAGAGCCTGGAGCCCGCTTCAGATTCTGTGTCTTCCTCTCTTTCAGTTCCTCCCCCACTCAGGCTCTCTCTCTCTCTCTCTCTCTCTCTCTCTCTCTTCCTCTCTCTCTCTAACATAAATAAAACATTAAAAAATATTTTTTAATCTATGCTTTCTGGTGAGTGCAAGGAATGCAGTAGGGGGAACGAGTAAACGCTACGCTAGAAATGAAAGAGCCAGTGCCTGCATGGTGCCTGCATGGTGCCTGGTGCACTCAAGGTGCACTTACCTCCCACAATTTCCAGAAAGTGCTATCAGAGTGGTTTCTAAAAGCCAGATTATTTCTCTGACTTTGCAATGTGAAACTAACTATTGCAGTGTTTCTCCCCTAAGGTGATAGGCAAGGGCTCTGACGAGAAGGCACCCATGAAGCTCAAGTCAGCAGGGGAAAGGCTGAGAAACGTGCCTGCAGGCTTGTCACAGCTGAGACCTCACAGTCGCCAAGGACATGTGCAGACGGCGGGGATCCTCCTCTGCTGTGCCCACCCAAGGACAGCCAGCTCTTCAGCAAATGGAGCCTTCTGCTGATAGCCATTATGACTGATTAACCCTTCCTAGACCACAAGCGTGTTCACTTGTTAGAGCGTGGCCTCAGCCCCTGCTGGGCAGCACTGTGACGACTTGCAGCTGGTTCCACAGCGGGTGTGGGTTGGAATCCTGATAGCCTGGTGTCAAATCTTTTACTTAGGACCTTAACTAAAACTGTAACTTACTACATTCAATCTTTCCCGTCTATCACAAGTGCTTCCCTTTGTGAAAATGCAGTACCAGGTGCTGGGAAATAGAACGAAAGCACATGGAACAGAGAGCAAGTTTTGTTCTTTTTCTTTTTTTTTTAACCCCCAAAACATTCACTGTGCTCCTTTCCCTTCCACCCCCACAATGGAGAAGTCAGCATGGTGGCTGAAGTCACAGGGCAGTGGCCGTGTTTGGGAAGCCACACAGAGGCGTGGACAGGGACCCCCTCCCACCCCCCCAGCACAAGCCTCCAGGGAAGGGAGTGGGGAGACACCAGGCGGGAAGGGTGTGGGATGCGGAACTGAGCAGGAGAGACAGCTGGTGTGGTTGGGAGACTGAGCAAATAGGTAAATACACTGAGGATCACACGAGCCAAAATTCTCATTGCCAGAGAAGATATTTATAAACATTGAAACAGGAAGTTTAGAAAGAGCCCTGAGGTGTTGGACTGGAATTGAGGTAGCAGTATGAACTTATGTTTTTATTATTATTATTGTGTGTGCGTGTATAAATATATACAGACACACAGGTAGATACAGCAATAGTCACAGATGAAAATGTGTACACATATGCATATCAACATATCCACATACACATGTAATATATGGTATATGTTTCCTATCTCTGTCCACCGAGTTAGTGAGCCTAAAAGCAATGCACCTCACTACCAATTAACACGTTGAGTGCCTAAATCCGGTTTCCTAAATGTCCTTTATTTTTTAAGCCAGTTTTATTAATTAATTGGTTAGCTTGTTTCTTTATATTTTTGTGGTGGATTTTTTTAGATTTATTTTTTTTGAGAGAGAGCGGGAGAGGGGCAGAGAGAGAGGAAGACAGAGGATTCAAAGCAGGCTCTGCTCTATCTCGTGAATTGGGAGACCATGACCTGAGCTGAAGTCAGATGCTTAACTGACTGAGCCACCCAAACGCCCCTTTATTTTGATTTTTAAGTCAGCTCTAGACCCAACATGAGGCTCGAACTCATACCCCTGAGGTCAAGAGTTGTATACTTTGCCAACTGAGCCAGCCAGGTGCTCCCTAAATGTCCTTTACTAAAAGAAACTAGAGGAGCAGCTGGGCAACTCAGTCAATTGAGTGTCAACTCTTGATTTGGGCTCAGGTCATGATCCCAGGGTCATGGGATTGAGTCCCTTTTTGAGCTCCACAATTAGCATGAAGCCTGCTTGAGATTCTCCCTCTCTCCCGCTGCCCCTCCCCACCCTCTCTCTCTCTCTCTCTAAAATTTTAAAAGAAGAAGAAGAAACTAGATGTCCTTGGGGAAATGGTGGATTCCAGGACTGCAACAGAGAAAGTGCAAGTTGAACCTGAAACATCATTTATGCCAGAAAATAAGGAAATGCTTGTAAACGATGGGGACACAGTAAACGGAGCCAGGAGTCAGAGTGACAGGGTCAAATCTGGGGCAAACAAATGCTTAAACTAAGGATAGTAATAATGGATTACAACCCACTGAATAAAACTGGAATCCATGTATGCATACTCACATGCATGATGAATGAATGGTTGAGGGAAAGGAAAAGCTGTCTAATAGAATGCCAACTAATAAAAATGGAAAAAATGATGGAAATAAACACTTACCATCTGTCAACCTTCATATATGTGGTTGAGTCCATCATTAAGGCCAGTAGTTAGAAGTTTAATAAGGAATAGAACATTGACTAATCTAGAAATTAGTGTTTTTAGTTCCCATAAAACACTAATCAATTATAAATGCCAAAATGTTGAATTTAAGGTGGAGAGACTCAACAGACAACAACATGATCAAGTAATCAAGGTCAGTGGTGGGAAGAGGTGACAGCATGTGCCTCCTGATGTGAGGCACAGAGAAGGACAAGCATCATTTCTGTAGAACTACTTCCCAGAATGCATAACCTCAGTGTGTGGATATCTATCTATCACCTATCTATCTATCTATCTATCTATCTATCTATCTATCTATCATGACTAAGTAATTACATTCCTAGGTATTTTCCCAAGAGAAACGAAAGTATGTCCACACAAATACTTACACAAGAATATTGAGAGAAGCTTTCATCATAATAGCTATAAATCAGAAACATCTTAGGATCAATTAGTAGGAAAATAGAATGTCCTGTATTTATACAATGTAATACTACTGAATAATAAGAAGGAACAATTAACACAAGCAGTAACACAGATGAATCTCAAAAACACTATGCTGAGTGAATGAAGCGTTATACAAAAGACATATTGTATTATTCCATTTATATGAAGTTCTAGAACAGTTATCAATGGTGGGGGGAAAAAATCGGAGCAGTAGTTGGGTAGGGGGAGATTGATACAGAGGTGGGAAGCGCCCCAGGCAAGAAGCATGAGGGAACTCTCCAGTATGGTAAAGTGTTCTCCAGATAGAGGTTTGAATTAAACAAATGTAGGTATTCGCTAAAAGTTTTCAAATGGTACACTTAAGATCTGTGCATTTTTGTGTATCAATTTTACCTCAAAAGGAAAGAAAAAGCACTGTAAACAAATATGAAACTAGAGCTATTGATGTGCATACTGAAGTATTTAGGGGAAAGTATGTTGAATGCATCCCCGAGATGAGGTGGATCACTGGATGCATAGAGACAAATAGATATACGATAAAGCAAAGGTAGCAAAATATTACCTCTCCAATCCAGCTGGTAGATGTATGAGTAATCCCTGTAAATTCATGTTATCTTTTCTATACATTTGAAAATTCCCACAGTAAAATGCTGAAAATACATATTTTTTATTTGTTTAATGTTCATTTATTTATTTTGAGAGACAGCATGCATGCAAGTAGGGGAGGGGCAGAGAGAGAGGAGAGAGAGAATCCCAAGAAGACACCATGCTGCCAGCACAGAGCCCAATGTGGGGGCTGAACCCACAAATTCGTGAGATCATGACTTGTGTGGAAATCAAAAGTTGGATGTTTAACCAACTGAGCTACTCAGACACCCCTGAAAATGTACTTTTTGAAAAACTTGCTGTGTGGGTTGCCTGGGTGGCTCAGTTGGTTAAGGATCTGGCTTAGGCTCAGTTATGATTTCATGGTTCCTGGCTTTGAGCCTCGCATCGGGCTCACTGCTGTCAACTCAGAGCCCACTTGGGATCCTCTGTCCCCCTCTCTTTCTGTCCATCCCTCTGTCATGCTCTCTCTCTCTCTCTCAAAAATAATAAACATTTTTTAAAAACTTGCTGTGGACTAAAACAAGAGGAATGGTGTCACGATGGTGAAAGAGCATAACGCAAAGATTTGGATGAGCTGAAAACCCTGGGCAAGAGACACTGGCGTAGGTCTCCCTAGTGGGTATGCCAAAAGAAATGAGATAAGGAACGCCTGTGGGTCTGTTCTTCCCATCACTCCATGTTGCCATCACTCAGAATCCCCACCTGTCTGACCACTGACTGATAGAATACTCTAAAACACCAAATCGACCAGGTCATTTTTATCTTGTCTTTCTCTGAATGTGTTACCAGTTAACCACATTGCATGAAAACAGCTTGTTTGATGTAACGGAATGTCGTTTCATTTCTGTTCTGGATCAGTAATTCCAGGGAGTGTGCATCCCAATGGGATACATTACTTTTTGTTGCTAGTGTATTATACTGGCAATGCATAATATATCACAGTTAATATTCCGCTACGTGTTTTGTGCCTGTTGTATCCCTGGACAACTTTCCACATCGGTGCATATAAATCGCATCATCTGTAAAATGGAAACATGATAGTCATGAAGAGTAATTTAGTTAATACTTATAAATAACCTAGAACAATGTCTGGCATATAGTAATTGTTTAGTGAATATGAACTATGGTTATTCCATTGTACAGGTGTTCCATAATTTGCATAATTTATTGATGGGCATGTAGGTTGTTGCCGATTTTTCCCTATTACAGATAATATGGAATTAAACAATCTTATACATGTATCTTGATACATATAAATATTACTAGGAGAAACTCCTAGAAGTGGAACTACTAGATCACAGAAAATGTATTGTGTGCCAGTCATGTATCTATCGCTCTCAGCCAAAGCCCATCCTCCAATCCTCTGCTTTATACCCTGGTGTGGGAATCTATAAACTGCCTTTCCCAGACTGCTTTGCTTGCTGACCCCTTTTCGGTTTCTTCCAGGAAAATATTGCCCAATCAGGGGCTCCTGGGTGGCTCAGTTGGTTAACCCTCTGACTTCGGCTCAGGTCATTATCTCATGGTTCATGGGTTCGAGCCCCACATCAGGCTCTGTGCTGAGAGCTCAGAGCTTGGAGCCTCTTTCAGATTCTGTCTCTGTCTCCCCTGCTCATTCTCTCTCTCTCTCACTCAAAATAAACATTAAAAAAATTTTTTTTAAGACATTGCCTAATCAACCAAGTGAATCAATCAAATTGCATCAATTTGAATTCCCACCAACAGCATATAAAAGGGCCTCTTTCTGTACTTGTAAACTGTTGCTGCTGCTGCTGCTGCTGGAGGAGTTTAATACAACCGTAGGGCCCTAATCCACACCTTTCGAGCGAGAATGTAGAGGGGTGGGGCCTGGGCATCTATGTTTTCTAAGAGCATCACAAGTGATCTGCACAGACAACTATGAACACTGTTCTAGATCTTTGATTCCCAAAGTGTGCTCCCTAGATCACACCTGGGAGCCTGTTAGAAATGCAGAATTTCAAAAGCTGCATGTTAACAAGATCCCCATGGAATCCGCATGCACATTAAAGTTTAAGAAGGGCTGCTCTATAAAGGATGCTGTCAGACGAACAGCAACACATCAGGTTTTGTGGGACCTAAAGCTTATATAATTTGGGAAACCTTCTTTACCAAAAGTGAATACAAAATTACAAACTGAATATTTATTTACAATGGAGGAATAGGTCACAATAAAATACTAACTTCTACAAGCTGGAAATTTCACAAACATCACAAAATTCAGGAGGGAAAATGACAAAACATGTTTACTATTGAGCTGATAA